GCGCGCGCTGGGCTCTCCCGCTCCGCCTGCAGCTTCTCTCCCCGGTGGCCCGCGGCCACCCCTCCGGAGGGCTCGGGGCAAGGGAACTTGACGAGCCCGCCTTTGAGCTGAAGGCGGGAAAATGGCGGACTCCTCGGGGCGCGGCTCTGGGTGAGTTGAAATCCCGCGGGTCTGGAATTTGTGGTTGCCGGAGGGAAGCCCTTGGCCGACGGCTGGGGGCAACGGGCAGCAAAGTTGGGGAACGGGGACCCTCGGGGTGAGAGTCCGGACCTGACCCTTCTAGGAGCCACCAAAGATGCGCAGGTTCAGGGAAGCCCCGGGTGCGACCTCCGCGCATGCTGGGAAAGCGGGCGCGTAGGGAGACCGCGAGTTCGAGTCCCAGGTCTGCCGCTTCGATCGGGGTCATCCCGGCAAGTGACTTAAATTCTCCGAGCCTCGCGTCCTCGGTTGCGAAACGGGGCTGATGACACCACCGCTCAACGTGTAGGTCTCACGTGAGCCTTGAAAGCACTTAGAACAGCGGTTCTCAACCTGTGGGTCGCGACCCTTTGGGGGGTCGAACGACCCTTTCATAGGGGTCGCCCAAGACCATCGGAAAACACATGTATAATTACATATTGTTTTTGTGATTAATCACTATGCTTTAATCATGTTCAATTTGTAACAATGAAAATACATCCTGCATATCAGATATTTACATGACGATTCATAACAGTAGCAACATTACAGTTATGAAGTAGCAACGAAAATAATTTTATGGTTGGGGGTCACCACAACATGAGGAACTGCATTACAGGGTCGCGGCATTAGGAAGGTTGAGAACCACTGACTTAGAACATGCCTGACCGGTAAGGGTGGTCTGTCGCTGTTTAGAACAACCACTTTGGAGCGGACATGTGCTGGGCCAATACAAGATCTCTCTGACTCGTCCCACCCGCCTTCTTACATGCTCCCCATTTACTGATGAGATGGTGGGGGCTCAGGGAGGGACGGTCATTTGCCCAGAGTCCCACGGCAAGAACAAGAAAGGCGTGGAACACATTCCCGGTGCCAGGCGTGATTCCAGGGCTGTGTTTTGTCTTATTTGTTCATCCGGCTAATGCTTATTGTGCCAATGAGAATGAAAATTAAATGGGCCCCATAAATCACTTGTATTTCCTCCTCAGCCCTTTGCCCTAACTGTGAGATTGATATTAGCTTCTCTGAGCTGCCAATGAGAATGAAAATTAAATGGGCCCCATAAATCGCTTGTATTTCCTCCTTTGCCCTAACTGTGAGATTGCTATTAGCTTCTCTGAGGTACAGTACCGGGGTGGTACCTGAGGCTGGCACAGGTGTAATGACCCCAACCCCAGGTCCTTGCAGTTTCGGCCTGAGCTCATTTTGTTTGGCTCCAGAGCCCTGACTTAGATCCAAGGGAATCCTTGCTCTTTCCCTTTCCAACATTGAGACTAACTAGGGGTGACCTGTTGAAGCTCAGGCCCTTGTCTGGAAAACAGATAAAGCAGGCCAAAGGTAGGTACACATTTGTAGGGTTGGAGATGCCTCCCACCATGGCCTGGGTCTCACTTGGGGGTCCCCCAGCCCAGCTCCACAGGAGGTGGCTACAGCGAACTGAGCAGGTGACCTCTGCTGCTGCAACTAGTGGAGCCTGTGATGTCAGCAGGAGTCAGAGTGCCCGGGTCTCACCCTGGCCCCTCCACCTGCTCCTACTGCATGGCTCGTCCCCGGTTCCTGGCATCCCTGCTTCTTCCCATTCGCCCAGACTGGAAACCTGGGAGGCATTCCAGACTCCCCCGCACCCCACAGCTGATTTGTCAGCGATTCCTACCTCATTGTTCCCTCATCTATTATGTCAGGCTTCATTCTTTCTTTCAGGACATTAAATTAACCATTGTAAGGTGAGCAATTCCATGGCATAAAGACATTCTCAATGTCGTGCATCCACCACCTCTGTTCTAGAACGTTTTCTTCAGTCCAGAAGGAAGCCCTATATCCATTAGCACTCCCCATTCCTCACCCAGTCAGGGCACATACCCAGGTTGTGGGTTCGACCCTGCAGGAGGCGGCCAGTTGATGTTTCTTCCTCATATTGATGTCTCTCTCCCTCTCCTCCCTTCCTTCTCTCTAAAACAGTGGTTCTCAACCTTCTGGCCCTTTAAATACAGTTCCTCATGTTGTGACCCAACCATAAAATTATTTTCGTTGCTACTTCATTACTGTAATGTTGCTACTGTTATGAATCATAATGTAAATATCAGATATGCAGGATGGTCTTAGGCGACCCCTGTGAAAGGGTCGTTCGACCGCCAAAGGGGTTGCGACCCACAGGTTGAGAACCGCTGCTCTAAAATCAATAAAAAACATATCCTTGGGTGAGAATTTAAAAAAAGTCTGACTGTCAAACTTTAGAGGGAAGGCAGGGGAGGGGGGGGTAAGATTAACCAAGCCGGGGAGAGTCAATGGGGGAAAAAGGAGACATATGTAATACTAAACAAAGAATTTTTAAAAAGTCTGCTGTTTAAGCCTCCTAGTCTTATATTTTGTGATGGAAGCTCGAGCAGATGAATATATAGGCACAGTGGGATGGGGGGGAGCATACCCGGTCCCTGCCCTTCTAGAACAGGGGTGGGCAAACTTTTTGACTCGAGGGCCACAATGGGTTCTTAAACTGGACCGGAGGGCCGGAACAAAAGCATGGATGGAGTGTTTGTGTGAACTAATATAAATTCAAAGTAAACATCATTACATAAAAGGGTATGGTCTTTTTTTTTTTTTTAGTTTTATTCATTTCAAATGGGCCGGATTGGTCCGCGGGCCGTAGTTTGCCCACGGCTATTCTAGAACCTCAGAGCCTGTCTTCTTCCCGGCTGCCAGCAGTCTTCATGAAACATGGCTCTGAGAGCGTCTGTTCCCCAGGGGCTACAGTGAAAGCCAGAGCGCCCCCTTTTTGTATGGCTGGCGAACTGCGAATGGTTTGTCCATTCGTAAATGGTTGTTAAAAAACATCAATAGAAGAAGAATGTTTTGGACATATGAAAGTTGTATAAACTTCAAATGTCATTGTATAAATAAAGTTTTATTGGGACATAGCCATACCCGTTTCTTTCTGCATCATCCATGGCTGCTTTGTGCTACAATGGCAAAGTTGAGTAGTTGTGACTAAGCACATGGCCCACAGAGCTGAAAATATTTACCATCTGACCCTTTACAGAGAAAGATTGCCAACCCCGGGCGATAGGACCAGGTGCAAGCCCTTACGTTGGGCATTCAGAGCTGCTGGCTGGCCCAGGGTGCTCTCCTCCTGATCCCATTCCCCTGCCAATGTTCTCTAGCTAAGCCATAGGGCTGGTCATTTCCCGCTTCCACATCATTCTCCATTGCCCTCATACCCTTGGTCTTGTTGATCCCTGTCTTAGGATGTCCTTCCCAGTGTACCTGAGCAAAAGGTGCATTATCACCTGCCCCCACCCCGTTACCTGTCTGGGGTACCTTCACACTTGCCCAACAGAAAGATGCTGCTCTTCCCTCTCACGGAGGGAGTTCCATCTGTCGTTCTCCGTGCACCCCCGGGGCAAACAGCAGGCACATAACCACCTGCTAAATTAATGAACTCATGACAGAGGTTGAGATCTTTGAGGTTCGGCAAAAATGTTCACTCTTCTTGCTCTGTGGGGCGACTCTGGGTCACCCAGGTGATGGGACTCCATGTTCTTCCTGTCGAGGTGGCCCAGCTTCGAAGAGAAACCTGAGCTTTCACGGGCTTCCCTCAGCTACTTGTCAACTACATTAACAAGACCTTGCCCCTCTCTTTTAGGTTGCCTTCTGCAGGGGACCCCAGTACTCCTAGTGGCCCCAAGCCGAAAGGAAAGCAAACACAAGGTGAGTCACGTTAGAATCTACCTAATGATCCCATGAAATAAAACGTGATTTTTTTTTTCTAGTAAGTGTTTTTGGGGAATAAAAAAACAAAACAGCAGAGCAAGGGAAATACGGTTTTATCTTCTGTTCACATCTTGGGAGATTTCTAGTCTGCTTACCCAGCCTCGCCTGCACCCAGGGTTGTGGCAGGACCGGGTAGGGCTCATTTGGGGCTATGCCCAGGACTTGTCACTTGGAAGTGTGGGTGAAGAGAGCTTGAGCTGAGTTCATTACCAAACATCAGAATTTCCTAAGTCTCTTCTCTGAAAGCATATCAGTCCTTTGGGGGTGCCCCATGTCCCATGTCCACCTGAGGGTTTGGGGTCATTGTGAACAGCCCCCTTGATTCTTGGCAGTGCCCATTGGACTCTTGAGGATCTCCCATGTTGGAGCTGAAGCCTCTGAAATGAAATATTCTCTTAAAGTGTGCTCTGGTAGTGCGCGTCTCAGAGAACTTAGAGCATCTTGTCTATAACATCTACTGTTTACATGCGGTCTGGTTCTTGAACACAAATTCTGTCCTTCACTATAACATTGCTGCTGTGGAAAATCCACCACCGTTTAAAACAAACAGATGCATACCAGTTTTCTGGAAACTTGAAACTGCTTTCAATTGTCCAAGGAACCCAGAGCCTCAGGTTTTTTCCTGGCTGTGCAACACCCAACACAGGAGGCCATGCCTGCTTAGAACCAGGGGTGTCCTTTGCCCGAGTCCCTCATGTCCGGTGGCAGACACTGGGGTTGGCTTGATTCTCTTCCTGGACCCCGCCTGACCCAGCCTTGACTCTAGGGACCTCCTTCCTGATGGCCTGAGCCCACTCGTGCTCTGAGCCCACAGGCACAGCTCTTCCCTGCCTGGAGCATGCTCAGGGTGACCACCACCTCCATGGCCCGCACCAGGCTCCCTGTTAACTGGTGCACCTCCTTTCCTCTTGGGGTGGCACTGCAACTGGAATTGCCAGTGGAAGATGCGAATTCTGGTGTGAAGTTCTGGTTTGAAATCAGTCTTGCTCCACCTAGCTGTTAAACTGTGTGATGTTGACTGTCACTCTCCCTGGGTCTCTTCAGTAGAAAGGGAGAGACTGAGCTCTACAGGCACCAAGAAAAAGTGCAGAATCATGCATTTGATCTTTGTTGAGCACCTACTCCCTGCAGGGAGGTGGACTATAGCAGCAAGCCAAACGGACACAGTCCCTGCCCTCAGGGAGCTGGTGGTCTGGGACACAGGCGGTGCACTGAGCGGAGAAGTAAGGAGACCCAGGGTTCAGAGGATGATAACAGATGCGGTGGGAAAAACAGCAGGAAGGGGGTAGCTTATGGGTCCAAAGGAAGTGCTGGGCTGAATAGAGTCGGGAAGGGGGGCCGGTGCAGGAGCAGCCCGTTGGCTGGGAACAGAGTGACTGAGGGGAGCGAGGAGGTGACTAAGTCAGAAGGACGCCCTGAGTCGTGCCAGGCTTGTAATGTGCCTAGAGATGCTCAGGCTCCACCAGCTGGTGGGCCTGCCAGATAGCCTGTTGTCAGCCACCAAGGGCCAGATAGCCTGTCAGCCACCAGGGGCCAGCCAGCCTGGAGGCCACAGGAGGGTCAGGAGGAGGAGGCATGTGAGCGAGCACTGTGCCCAGTGCTGCTGGTGGCTCAGTATGAGGGTGGCTCACGGAGAAGGGCTGATGGGCTTTGGAACACGGAGGTCTTGATGGTCTTGCTGAAATGCGTTTCTTCTGTGGGGTGGTGGGGTGAGAGCCAGGTGTGTGTGGGGGGATTCGAGGGAAGAGGGAGGAGAAGAGAAAGCCAGCATTGTAAAGGGAAGCAGAGAAATGGGGGTGAGCCAAGGGGGTGGGTGCAGGGAGATTAACAGTGTGACCTGTGGGGAGGAGCAGGAGTGGTGTGGGGGTGAGGAAGAGAGGGGTTTCCAGGGCAGGTTTTTTTTTTCTTAAACAATGTATGTATTTTTATTTATTTAATTTCAGAGAGGAAGGGAGAGAGAGAGAAACATCGATGATGAGAGAGAATCATTGATCGGCTGTCGCCTGCACGCTCACACTGGGGATCAAGCCTGCAACCTGAGTATGTGCCCTGGCCGGGAATCCACCGGTTTGTAGGTCGATGCTCAATCACTGAGCCACACCGGCCAGGCTCCAGGGCAGTTTCTTTACGGGTTGGGACTTGGCTCTGACAACAAGAGTGGGGGTTCTCTTTACCCAGGAGCAGAGGTCCATCCACATGGGGTCAGGATGCTGCCCTGAGGTTTGGAGGGCAGGTGGGTTTCCTCCATCCTTGTTCAATGCCCCGGGGGCAGGAATGGAAGGAGACCTGCGCTGGACTGTCACAGGGATGTGCTGTGTCTGAGAAAGGGCCTTGGTGTGAGTGTGTCCAGGGGGTTGGTCCTGAGCTAGGAGAGGTGTGGTGAGGGTATGTGAAAGGTGGTACCAGGAGTAGGTCAGAGGAAGTGGGGGAAGCGGTGTTTGGGGTCATGAACACACGGAGTGAGTGAGCTGGGGAGAGAGGAGGAGACAGCAAACAGATAGCCATCTGTGGTAGGTCTGTCTTCCTTTACCTGCCCCTTCCCTGAGTCCCCTTTCTGCTCCTGTGGATCTCTGGCTTTTCCCGGAGCCCTGGGACTTGTACACAGTAGGTGTCTTATACATGTTTTCGCACACAGTAGGTTCCCATAAATGTTCTTACATATAATAGGTGTCCCATACATACTTGAGGGTACTGAAGGGCAGGCTCTGAGAGGAGCAAGGGGGATCAGCTCCCCCATTCCTGCTGTTGAGCAGGGAGGGCCAATAGCACCTGGCTCTGGGGGAGGCGGTGTGGTCCTCGGTGCGGGCGGGTCTGCACACACGACTATTGTAGTTTTGTTATAAACCAACAGTGTGTTCCCCACAGGAGGAAAAATGGTCGAATCCCGATACCTGCAGTATGAGAAGAAACCCACTAAAAAGGTAACACACAACGTTTGAAACAGTTCGGAAGGGAGTTCTAACGAACTTAGGATTCTGACACAAGTTACCCGAGCCAGGCACCGCCTGGTTCCGAAGGCAGTGTTTTGGGGACTTTGCCTAGTTGTCCTTCCTGCAGAGACCTGAGTCTCTGTCGTGAGTGGCCAATCTCTTTGAGAATCCTTTTGCAAAGCCATGATCTCTGTTGAAACCTAAAATTGTTGTGCTTTTCAACCCCATCATTTCTTTTCTGGATTCTGTCCTGGAAGCAGTTCTGGCGAGTGCCCAGCGCACGGTCCCTGGCCTTAGCTGGTATTTAAAACAATACCTGCAGGGCTATAGGAATGACTGGGGAAAATGACGTACCTGAAACACTAGTAGTAGAGAGAGTTTCATGAACTACCTGTAGTCACACCATGAAAATTATGAAACCATTTAAATGACAGCATGAAACACTTAACAACATGAGAGCATACTTTGTATGATGTTTAATAAAAGCTAGCACCATGGCCCAACCAGTGTGGCTCAGTGGTTGAATGTCAACCTATGAACCAGGAGGTCATGGCTCGATTCCCAGTAAGGGCACATTTCCGGGTTGTGGGCTCGATCCCCAGTGGGGGGCATGCAGGAGGCAGCCAATCAATGATTCTCTTTCATGATTGATGTTTCTATCCCTCTCTTCTCTTCTCTGAAGTCAATAAAAATATATTTAAAATAAACGTGGCTCAGTGGTTGAATGTCAACCTATGAACCAGGAGGTCATGGCTCGATTCCCAGTAAGGGCACATTTCCGGGTTGTGGGCTCGATCCCCAGTGGGGGGCATGCAGGAGGCAGCCAATCAATGATTCTCTTTCATGATTGATGTTTCTATCCCTCTCTTCTCTTCTCTAAAGTCAATAAAAATATATTTAAAATAAACAAACAAAAAAAACAATCAGTATGTTACCCAATTATATATTTGTTTCAGTGTGTACCTACTGAAAATGTTTTGAGGTGAAGGTCATATTATCCCCAAATAATTGTTTCTGGTAAAAATTAGTTACATATTCATTTCCACTCTTAAAATCTGGATAGAGTGGGTGGTGGGTTCTTAAAAATGTGACCTACAATACAGCTTGAAGAAAAAGGATAGTTTTATATAAACTGTTTGATATGCTTCTTGGAGTGGTTTTTTTAAATGGACTTAAAAAAGGTTTATTGGGATGGCATTGGTTAATAGGATCATATGGGTTCCAAGTGTACAGTTCTATGATACAAGATCTGTATATTGCATTGTGTGCCCAGCACTCAAAGCCAAACCATCTTCCATCACCATATATGTATTTGGTCCCTTTTACCCCCTCCCCACCCCTTTCCTCTGGTGACGACTTGTCTGTGTCCGTGAATTTTATATCTCATATATGAGTGAAATCATATGGTTCTTAGCTTTTTATGACTGACTTATTTTGCTTAGCATAATATTCTCAGGGTCTATCCATGTTGTCGCGAATGGCAGTATTTCGTCTCTTATGGTTGAGTAGTACTTCATTGTGTATATTTACCACATCTTCTTTGGACTTTATTTTTAGAGCAGTTTTAAGTTAATAGCAAAATTGAGCAGAAGGTACCTCCCCACCCCATTCATGTGTAGCCTCCCCCACAATCAACATCCTGTACCAGCGTGGTGCATATTTACAATTGGTGAGCCTACGTGGACACATCGTCACCCAAAATCTGTAGTTTACAGTGTTGAAGTGATACTCAACAAAGGATCCACAGTCCACATGTCATAATTTTAATGTTGCCTTGCAAACGTGGTTACAGCGCCCCCGTGTGTCTACTTGCTGCATATAGGAGTCTATTTTATCTTACCTTATTTTATTTTATGTTATGTTATGTTATGTTATGTTATTTTTTGTTAATCCTCACCTGGGAATTTTTTAATTGGTGAGCCTACGTGGACACATCGTCACCCAAAATGTGTAGCTTACAGTGTTGAAGTGATACTCAACAAAGGATCACAGTCCACACGTCATAATTTTAATGCTGCCTTGCAAACGTGGTTACAGCGCCCCCGTGTGTCTACTTGCTGCATGTAGTAGTCTATTTTATTTACCTCATTTTTATTTTATGTTATGTTATTTTATTTTTTGTTAATCCTCATCTGGGGATTTTTCCCCATTGATTTTTGTAAGTTTTGAATAACTCTCTATCCCTCTCCCTTCCTCTCTGTAAAAAATCAATAAAATATATTTTTTAAAAAAACTGGCAAATACTAAAAAGTATACAGAAAATCAGTCATCTATAATCTGCCATGTCAGAGATAATCACTGGCAAAAATTGTGGTGGTTTCCTACGTTCTGTGTACGTGAGGGTACCCTTTTTGACAAAAGTAGCTTGACCTGCATGTATGCAATTAAATGTCAGAACTCCTTAAGCCTGTCCTTTGCCTCAAAGTATGAGCAGATGCAAACCTTGCAGACGTGAAGGGGCCCCTTCTCATGAAGGGAAAGTATCATGTCCCCTGAGTGTCGTGTGTTCCCAACAGGCTCCTGCAGCAGATGTTTTAAAGACCAGTGGGAAGATCCCTGAAGGCGGAAGGAAACCCAGCTCCCTCCAGAAGAGCAAAGGTGTGTGACAATGGGGGGAGGGCGTAAGTCATCCGTGGAGCTAGCAAGTGTTGAGTGTGGTGGTGAATTATGTTTTCAAGTTAAAAGTCCCTCTTTTCTTTCTTGGAAGCATCAGACGAAAGAGCTGGGCAAAGTGTAAGGACAGATTCGGGGCATGTGGGGAGCTGAAAGGGGGTGGCGGGGGAGTCGGGGGGTCTCTTCCTTCCTGTGTGACCCCAGAGAGGAGCCCAGTTGCCATTATGGCTCTTCCTTGTGGCACCAGTTCCTTAACCGAGTGACTGTTTTTGCCAGAGCTCCATGACCAGGACCAGAAAAGGTGCGAGGCCTCATCCTGCCTCTCACTGCCTTGGGTTGCGTCTTCCTTGTAATGGTCTCCCTATGTTTTTCATCTAAAAGCTGTCACCAAAGTGACATGAAAAGCTTTCAGTTTTTCTGATTATAGAAGTGGCATGTGTTCATTGTTTAAAAAAATGGAAAATGTAGACGAGGAGGGAAAGTTCCCTCACAATCTGCCAATCTGACCATCACTGTTGGTGGATTTGGTGTTCCGTTCTAGGCAGTGTGTTCACCTAGAAGTCTGGGAGGGCCCCTCCCACCGTAACAGTTTGTCCAGTGCCTCACGTGCCTACCTCTACAGCAAATTGGGCAGCTCTTTTGCATGAGAGCAATTCACAAAGGGCAGAACTCTTCCTTGGCTCTCACCTCCTTGTTCAAAATGGTGGCAGCTTTGAGTTCTCCTACAACTACAGATTTTCAACTTTATTGTTCAGATCAAGGGTCAGCAAACCTTTTCTGGGGCAAATGGTTAATATTTTAGTCTTTGCAGGACAGACACTCTCTGTCACAAAGACTTCACTGCCATTTGCAGCATGAAAGCAGCCACAGACCATACATACATGAATGAATATGTCTGTGTCCCAATAAAACTTTTTTAAAAAATATATTTTTATTGATTTCTGAGAGGAAGGGAGAGGGAGGGAGAGAGAGAAACATCAATAATGAGAAAAAAAAAATCATTGATTGGCTGCCTCCTGCACGCCTCCTACTGGGGATTGAGCCCACAACCTGGGCACATGCCCTTGACCGGCATCGAACCTGAGACCCTCCAGTCTGCAAGCCAACGCTCTATCCACTGGGCCAAACCAGCCAGGGCCCAATAAAACTTTTAACAAACACAGGAAGTGGACTGGGTTTGGCCCGCAAGCTGTAAGTGTGCTGATACTAGGTTAGATGTTTGTCAGAATTTGCACTGTTCCTTGACGCAGGCATGACTGAGAAGCAGGCATCATCTTCTAGTGTTTTCTTGTGCAGTTAGTTGAGCGCCCTGCATGAAGCTGAGAAACAGCATGGGCTGAGGGGCCCCAAACGGGGCCTGCCACATTTTAAAGTCAGGGTTCTCAGCTGGGGCAATTCTGACCCCAGGGGACACTGGACAATGTCCGGGGTTGTTGCAGAAGAAGGCGGTGTGATGGGTGGTTCTCCCAGGAGCTGTTCAACACCCGGGAGTACACAGGACAGCACACAGCAAAGAATTACCCAGCCCCAAATGTCAGCAGTGCCAAGGCTGAGAAACCAGAATTCAAGCGTAGCCATGGTGTAGAAGGACTGTTTTTTGAGTTCTATCATATGGATTTATAGGAAATTACATTTTCTAATGGAAATACTGTACATGCAGATGACAAAACATTTAACCTGTGAAAAACCATAGCAATAAAAAATCACCCTTTTTCACATCAGGTTCCAGCTTCTCAACCAGGAGGCAGCTGCTCTTAATACGTTTTTGTCTGTCTAGAATTTTTTAAAAATTTTAACACAAACGGTACCTTGCCCTACACATTATTGTGACTTTGCTTTTTTAATTTCCTCATATTTATTTTCTGAGCTGCACAGTTGCTCATGAAATTGTTTTCTCTTTTAGTTCCTGCCATGACAGTGTGTATCTGACATACCGCTGCTCCTTTTGCAGCACTCTGGGGGCCTTGCTGAATTAACACATGCAGTGCCCCACTGCCCGTTTCAGATGGTGTAAGGCATAACTGCACAGTTTTAAATAGAGGCTAAAGGATGAAGGGGACTCCTGGGAAGATGAACACTCCAGAAGCTGCTGGAGAAAGAAGGAGAAAGAGCTGAGGGCAGAAAAAATACATGGCATGTATTAGGCTCATACTGTGCACACAGCAGCTTTTATTAAACTAAGTAGAAAGACTTGCATCTTCGGGTTTTACAGAATGCCTCCCTCGTCTAGTTCTTTAAAATATATTCATGTTGATGGCTGGGAATTTCCCAAGGTTTTCTGCCTTCTCTACTACCTAGCAAGAAGCTTAGTTTTAGAAGCAAGTGGTATTGTCCAGAAGGTTGCCTGCTTCCTGGCCTGGGTGTAGAGCCTCTTAGGGACTGTGTTGACTTTGAGGGATTCTCATTGAACCCACAGAAAGCAGTGGGATCTTCGACAAAGGCGACCTGCAGTCCACGTTGCTGGAAGGACACGGCACCGCCCCCCCGCACCTGGATCTCTCAGCCATCAATGGTAAACTGTTCATTTCACCCCTTATGTTCCCAGCTGGGGGTGGCAGTGCATCTTAGCAAGCTGCCACAGGATGCTCCTCTCACCTCAAAAATGCTTTCCTTGATTTTAGACAAAAGTATGCTCAGAAAGACTCCACAATTAGAAAAAAAAGTGTCAAAGAAAACCGAGTCGACATCATTTTCTGCCTCGCAGGAAAAGGACCCAGTAAGTGTCTGAAATGAGAAGGAAGTACTAATGGGTCGGATAAATCTGGATTAGCTCCTGCCCTGGGCCAGGTGCTGTGGGAAACCTGGGGCTCCAAGAACATGCCTTTTAGGACAAAAGAGGTCAGCTGTGGCAGGGTCTCTGAGCCGTGTGTCCCCACTGGTCATCGCGATGTCTGGAGGGATTATGTACAGTGTCTGTCACTCCTGGCCTGGCTCTAATTTTGTGCTTGGCTTTTGACACCAGCGGGTATTGGTATGTAACTGTTTATAAGAGGATGTGCCCATAAGGTTAGGTGCCAGCCTGCAGAGGGACCTGTCCTTTCGGCACACACATATCCTTCAGGCGCCCACAGCTGTGCCCAGTGACGGGAAGACATGCTTCAGGCCTGCCCAGGGGGCCAGGGTGCAGGTGGGAGGCACAGTCTTGGCACCATGTGGTCAGCGCTGGGACACAGTCGTCCACGCCACAGTCGTCATGGAGCAAACCCTTGGAAACCAAGGGCTGCTCAGGGGCGTAGCTCCTCATTCAGTGTATGCATGTCCCGGGGCTGCCGTGACGAAGTCCCACAGACTGGGCAGCTTCAACAGCGGACACTTACTCTTTCTCAGTCTGGAGGCTGGAGTCCGAGATCAAGGCGTCAGCAGAGTTTGCTCCTTCCAGGGGCTGTGAGGGAAGGATGTGTCTTGGGTCTCTGCTTGGCCTGGAGGCTGTCTTCTCCCAGTCTCTTCACTTGGTGTCCCCCCGTGTGCGTGTTTGTCTCCAGTTCTCTGCCTTTTACGAGGACATCGGGAATATAGATCAGTGCCCACTGACTCAGTTCCCTCTGTAAGGCCCTGTCTCCAAATCAGGTCACATTCTGAGCGGTTAGTGGTTTGGATGTCAACCGAGGAATTATGGGGTTCAGCCTGTGACACCCAATGGTGCACGTGTTCGTGCATGTGCCCAGGCTGTGGGCTGAGAAACGAGTGGAAGGAAAAAAAAAAGACAAATAATGAATCCTTACAGTGCCCTGTGATAGTGTGTATGAGGGAAAGGGGAGTTGGTGAGGATGGCCTTGAGGTGGGGCAGGCGTTTCAGCTCAGTGCTCCAAAGCAGGAGAGCACAGCCTTCCTGGGTCCCCTGTGATCCCAATGGAGGGCTGGCCCTGGAATGCGCTGGCAGGTGGATGCATGTTCATGGCAAGGAGGGTGGCCAGGAGTGAGGGGAGAGCCCACCCACCTGCTGAACCTCCTGGAGGATCCCTAGATCCCGAAAGAACAGCCTGTGTCTTACCCTCACATGTGCCAAGTGTGAAACTTCCGGGGCGGTGACTGCCGGTCTCGTCTCATCGGCCCCTCTCGCTCCTGCTGCAGATCGAGATGCTCAGCCCCTACGCGGCTGTGTCTGAAAGCTTCAAGGAGCAGTACAAGGCACTCGCGAAGGCCCTGGACACCACGAGGCATGAGCTGCCTGTGAGATCAGTTCACCTGGACGGAGGCGCGCAGAAGTTCTTAGGTAGGACGGGCATCTGCTGGGCAAGGAACGGGAAGAACTACCAGCGGGTTTGGCACTTCCTGTGTGCTGGCACCTTTATTCCTTCATGGCATCCTCACAAGCCTCATGTTAGATAGATGGCATGTCCCCCTTCACATGGCACAGGATGTAGGGTGCTGGCAAGACTGGTTTGTCCAGAGTGGCACCCCAAGAAAGAGCCATGCTGGGATTGGAACCCAGGCCTGTGGTTTCCTTGTTGATGTCCTACCCCCACTGAAAGGCATTCTTGGGGAGCGGCCTGCAACCCCACAGCCTTGAGAGAGGGGCTCTACTAAGGTGCATTGTTGATGGGGCAGTGATAGGGCTGCAGACCCCCACCCTCTGCCTTCTACACAGAGCCAAGGGGTCCCTTTCCTGCAGAGGGGTCCCATCTAGTCCTTCACCTAAAGAAATGGGCAGGTGTGAAGTGCTGTGCTTGATCTTAAAATTCTCTTTAGAACAGCTGTCTTCCCAAAGCAGGTTTTCAGCTGCCCTGGAGTTTGGTTATTTCTAAGCAGAGCTCTCATGAGCCTCTAAATATGTTTTGCTGATGTAGTAAAACATCGCCAACCTAAAATCAGGCGGACTTTCCCTGCAGAACTTTGCACAAAGGCAGTTCAGGATCCCAAAGCGTGTTGCTGTATTGGCAGCTTCAGACAGAGACTTAAATTTTTTTTAAAAAAAGCTTTATTGATATATAACTCAGGTACCATACAATTTGTCCACTTAAAGTGTACGATTAATTGTTAATATATTCATAGGGATGTGCAACTGTGCAGAACTTTGCACAAAGGCAGTTCAGGATCCCAAAGGGTGTAGCTGTATTGGCAGCTTCAGACAGAGACTTAAAATTTTTTTTTTTAAAGCTTTATTGATATATAACTCAGGTACATACAATTTGCCCATTTAAAGTGTACAATTCCTTGTTTTTAATATATTCATAGGGATGTGCAACTATAACTATACTCTAATTTTAGGACATTTTTGTTTCCCCCAAAAGAAACTCAGTATCTATTAGCTGTCACTTCCCATCGCTGCTTATCTCCCAGCCCTAAGCAATGACTGATTAACTTCCAGACAAAGATGGTTTTTAATAAAGTCAAGCCTTTTCTAATGTGAAATAGTATATGTCTGCCATGGGATCTTGAAAAGTGAGCCTGTTGAATGACTTTCTGTATCTGGGTTTCCTGTTGTATGGCTATTGCAGTCAGTGGCACATCTGTGACTCTTGTACTCCGTTTCAGAAAAGCTCCTTAGATAATTGCTAGGAGTTGGGATTAGGGAGGGTATGAGTTGTTTGTGGCTGCTGTAACAAAGGCCCACAAACCGGGTAGCTTAAAACAAGAGAAACGTATTCCCCCTCAGTTCAAGGGGCCAGAAGTCCAGAATCAAGGTGTGGGCATGGTTGGTTCTTTCTGGAGGCGCTGAGGGAGAACCCATTCCAGGCTCCTCTCCCAGCTGCTTCCTTGGCTGCTGGCAGCGTCACTCCAGTCTCTGCCCCCATCTTCTTGTCATTGCCTTGCCCCTTGAGTGCCTCCGTTTCTGAATTTCACTCTTCTTAGAAGGGCCCCAGTTATTGGAATGGGCCCTACCCTATGACCTCGTTCTAACTCAGTTACATTTCCAGTAAGGTCATATTCAGACACTTGAGAATAGTACCTGAACATGTCTTTTTGGGAGGACACAATTTAGACCACATTGGGGGGAAAGACGTGTGTTTGTAAGAACCCTTATAAGGTTCCAAAATGTTAAAATGTTTGGTTGTGATGTGTGTACACGTGTAGCTTGTAGATGGGACATGTGCCAGGATTGGAGAGATGCTGGTTTCCCTAGAGCTGGTGGGACACAGCGCAGTTGTAGGCAATACTTTACTGGGGCGGGAGGTACTGTATCGAAGGGAACCATGGGATTCTTTTTAAGTTACTCACAGGACAGGTTTTCCCCACTTTTTGCATTCGTTTCTGTTGGGGGTGCTGGAGTGGCATTCTAGGTCTGTTCCAATGACCGCCTGGACAGTGGACACGCCTGACCCATGGTCTCAGGCAAAGGAGCACAGAGGTGGTACCAGTGCACAGATGTTGTCCTTCATGACCCTCTCAGCCTTTGAGCCTTCGTAACAGGAGAGCGTTCCAATGAAATGAGAACAATCTAGCCAGCCACCTCGCTCACGCGTGGGTTGCTTGGGGCACCGTGAAGCCCATGGCTGATGCCCTCTCCCCACCCTCCTCAGATGATTTGCAGCGGGAATTGACGACCACACACCATCTGTTGGGAGAACTTGGGGTCTGCAGTTCAGAAGAAAACGGGAAAGTGCTAGACCTGCTGGGTGAACTGAAGGAAATGACCCAAAAGAAGGATCTGGAGCTCCGAAGGTATTTCAGAAAATATTTTAAGAAAAAGCACCCTGGCCGGTGTGGCTCAGTTGGAGCACTGTCCTGTACACCAAAATGTTTCGGGTTGGTGCACACCAATCAATGTTCTCTCTCACAACAGTGTTTCTCTAAAATCAATAAGCATATCCTCAGTGAGGAGTAAAAAGGGGCGGGGGGTGGGGGGAGCGGAGACTGGCCAATGTGGCTTATTTGGTTGAGCATCGTCCCATGCACCTAAAGGTTGCTGTTCGATTCCTGGTCAGGGCACATGCCCAGGTTTGTAGGCTTAATCCCCAATAGGGGGTGTGCAGGAGGCAGCCAATTGATGTTTCTCTTCCCCTCCTTTCCTCTAAAATCAGTAAAAACATATCTTAAGAAAAAGATAGCATATACATAAATATATACATACATACATACATATACATACATACATATATATATAAATATATATTTAATTACATAATATTACTTTTAAAAAAAGAAGAAAAATAGCCTCCCATCAGACAGAGATGTGCCATTGGCGGCTGCCTTGTGCAGAGAGCGGGCAGCCCTGGCATGGCAGGGTCCAGCAAGGCAGGGAGAAGGGAGGGGGTAAAAGCCTTCAGCACACCAGAAACCTCAAGTGGGTTCCCCAACAGCCAAAATAGAAAGGGCAATGGCATCACCCCTCATTCACTCCTTGGGACCACACAGCACTGCGGGCGCCTTGGATCGGGCTGTTCATGTTTTAAATGTTTTCCAGGGTCAGGGCCTGGGGTGATCTTTTTGGAACTCCTTATTGGAGTATAAGTACGTAGAGAAAAGGCGCAGATTGTAGTGGTACAACTCGATGGGTTTCCCAGCGTGTGCCCACATGGAACCAGCCCTAGGCCAGTCCCCCGTAATCACCCCGATTTTCTTCTCTCACTCCAGGGGATTTCTAACCATGGGGTTTCTTCCAAGTGTTCCAGAAAGAATCTTGTTTTCTTCTCCTTGACAATGCTAAACATACTTCCTGAGATGACTAAAATATTTGAAAGGTGATGATGGAAATCAAATGCCACCCGCTGTGGAGTTAGCTTCTTCTGGCCCCAGGATGAAATCGGGACACACCAGAGTGTTCTGGATTGCAAAGGTTACAGGCTTGAGTGGTTAAACATGCTCATTTAACACCTGTGTCCCCACCACCATGTACTTTGAGGGCGGGCTGGGATACTGCCCCATTCACAGTTCTTTTTAAAAACACATATTTTTATTGATTTCAGAAAGGAAGCAAGAGGGAGAGATAGAAACCTCAATGATGAGAGAGAATCATTGGTCAGCTGCCTCCTGCACACCCCCTACTGGGGATCGAGCCTACAACCTGGGCATGTGCCCTGACTGGAATCGAACCATGACCTCTTGGTTCATAGGTTAATGCTCAACCACTGAGCCACACTTGTTTCTTGAACTAATGAATCTTTCCTTTCATGCCTTCCTGGCCCTGTTCTTGGGGGCTTCCCTGTTTGAGTTCTGTTCAGACAGCTTACTGACCCGTGCTTTCCCGTGAGTGCTCGGGAGGAATCCACCTGGACCCTCTGCCTCCGCGCTGCCACCTTGGCGAAGGCAGAGGCGCCTTGGCTCCTTCCGGCCCTTCGGGCGCGGGGTGAGGGTGGGGGTGGCAGAAAGCGTCATCCCTTCCGTTATTCCCGCAGGAGCTTCGCCCAGGTGCAGGAACTCTCTGCTGGAGTGAGTAAGGAGGCAGCCTTAATCAACCAGGAGGTCTGGGAAGAGGCCCAGGGCCCGGTGGCCCCCCGCCAGTGGTATTTCAATGAGGAGGACACTCGAGGGGGCACTTGGGGAGAGGCCAGCAGCCCGCTCCTCTCGGGTGCCGACAAGCGCTGCGCACGGTGAATCCACACGCAGGCCGTGACCCTAGCCCAAGTGGGGCCTCTGCAAACCCTCGGGAGGAAAGCTCTGTCCAGGGCGCCTCTGTGCCAGGGCACCGGTGTGGTGTTCCCGAAACTCACGCACTTTAGTCACTTAGCTCAGCACTACAGCTGGTTTTGTGTGATAATCTTGTTTTATATTGAGAAATAAAGTGTTTGGCAACTGAGTTTGGTTTCTATGTAAGGGGAAGCAGGAGAGACGCTGAGTATTTCACTCTCGAGGTGATTCCTTCCTCCAGTCACGGGGCTGTTCTGTTTAATGTCCGAAGCAAGTGAGGAGTTGGTCCTCAACTGGAAATTCTCATCCAGTCCAATGTCCCAGCAGCGGTCGCTGGAGCACCTGCGGGCTTTGCCGTTGCTCCAGCCTGTACTCCACACGGGACTGTGCCACAGAGAATTTTCCTCCCCAGCTCGTCGGCTCCCGTCTGCACCACGTGGGCTCCGGCAGGCCTGCTGGTTCCCGTGGACATGGCTGCTGCGGTGGGACACCGGGAGGGGTGGTGCTCTGGGGGTTCCGTGGACATGGCTGCTGCAGGACGACACAGATGGGTTAGTGCTCTGGGGGTTCCGTGGACATGGCTGCTGCAGGACGACACCGGGAAGGGTGGTGCTCTGGGGGTCCCGTGGACATGGCTGCTGCGGGACGACACGGGAGGGGTGGTGCTCTGAGGGTGCCCGTGGACATGGCTGCTGCGGGACGACACGGGAGGGGTGGTGCTCTGAGGGTGCCCGTGGACATGGCTGCTGCGGGACGACACGGGAGGGGTGGTGCTCTGAGGGTGCCCGTGGACATGGCTGCTGCGGGACGACACGGGAGGGGTGGTGCTCTGAGGGTGCCCGTGGACATGGCTGCTGCGGGACGACACGGGAGGGGTGGTGCTCTGAGGGTGCCCGTGGACATGGCTGCTGCGGGACGACACGGGAGGGGTGGTGCTCTGAGGGTGCCCGTGGACATGGCTGCTGCGGGACGACACGGGAGGGGTGGTGCTCTGAGGGTGCCCGTGGACATGGCTGCTGCGGGACGACACGGGAGGGGTGGTGCTCTGAGGGTGCCCGTGGACATGGCTGCTGCGGGACGACACGGGAGGGGTGGTGCTCTGAGGGTGCCCGTGGACATGGCTGCTGCGGGACGACACGGGAGGGGTGGTGCTCTGAGGGTGCCCGTGGACATGGCTGCTGCGGGACGACACGGGAGGGGTGGTGCTCTGAGGGTGCCCGTGGACATGGCTGCTGCGGGACGACACGGGAGGGGTGGTGCTCTGAGGGTGCCCGTGGACATGGCTGCTGCGGGACGACACGGGAGGGGTGGTGCTCTGAGGGTGCCCGTGGACATGGCTGCTGCGGGACGACACGGGAGGGGTGGTGCTCTGAGGGTGCCCGTGGACATGGCTGCTGCGGGACGACACGGGAGGGGTGGTGCTCTGAGGGTGCCCGTGGACATGGCTGCTGCGGGACGACACGGGAGGGGTGGTGCTCTGAGGGTGCCCGTGGACATGGCTGCTGCGGGACGACACGGGAGGGGTGGTGCTCTGAGGGTGCCCGTGGACATGGCTGCTGCGGGACGACACGGGAGGGGTGGTGCTCTGAGGGTGCCCGTGGACATGGCTGCTGCGGGACGACACGGGAGGGGTGGTGCTCTGAGGGTGCCCGTGGACATGGCTGCTGCGGGACGACACGGGAGGGGTGGTGCTCTGAGGGTGCCCGTGGACATGGCTGCTGCGGGACGACACGGGAGGGGTGGTGCTCTGAGGGTGCCCGTGGACATGGCTGCTGCGGGACGACACGGGAGGGGTGGTGCTCTGAGGGTGCCCGTGGACATGGCTGCTGCGGGACGACACGGGAGGGGTGGTGCTCTGAGGGTGCCCGTGGACATGGCTGCTGCGGGACGACACGGGAGGGGTGGTGCTCTGAGGGTGCCCGTGGACATGGCTGCTGCGGGACGACACGGGAGGGGTGGTGCTCTGAGGGTGCCCGTGGACATGGCTGCTGCGGGACGACACGGGAGGGGTGGTGCTCTGAGGGTGCCCGTGGACATGGCTGCTGCGGGACGACACGGGAGGGGTGGTGCTCTGAGGGTGCCCGTGGACATGGCTGCTGCGGGACGACACGGGAGGGGTGGTGCTCTGAGGGTGCCCGTGGACATGGCTGCTGCGGGACGACACGGGAGGGGTGGTGCTCTGAGGGTGCCCGTGGACATGGCTGCTGCGGGACGACACGGGAGGGGTGGTGCTCTGAGGGTGCCCGTGGACATGGCTGCTGCGGGACGACACGGGAGGGGTGGTGCTCTGAGGGTGCCCGTGGACATGGCTGCTGCGGGACGACACGGGAGGGGTGGTGCTCTGAGGGTGCCCGTGGACATGGCTGCTGCGGGACGACACGGGAGGGGTGGTGCTCTGAGGGTGCCCGTGGACATGGCTGCTGCGGGACGACACGGGAGGGGTGGTGCTCTGAGGGTGCCCGTGGACATGGCTGCTGCGGGACGACACGGGAGGGGTGGTGCTCTGAGGGTGCCCGTGGACATGGCTGCTGCGGGACGACACGGGAGGGGTGGTGTTCCGGGTGAGATGCGGTATCCATCCCCGCCCTGCATTCTGGGAAGAGAGATGTGTCTTGATCTAACACATGTTCAACAGGCACACTTTCACCTTCACACACCCCACCCCCACCCCGACCCCTTACAGTCCTGACCTGCTTCCTATCAGCAGGTTGGGAGCTATAATTGCAGGTCGGGAAGCAGTCCCCAGTCAGACGTAGTAACCATTCCCACAACCATGCAGGTCAAGGGGACACAGACTCTCCCATAGGTGGGTTAAACCTTCCAGTTTCCATCCACACACCGGCCCTTTCATTCCCATGTTTCCAAGTCCATGACGTCCTCATTAGGGATCCCCCATGGAGCTCCTGTATCTGAGTCCCAGAAACGTCATCCCCTGGCCCGTTCCCCCCATTTGTGTGCAAAAGCTTTGAGTCCATAGACAGGGACAGACACCCCAGGAACCCCGGTCCTTCCGTTAGTCTTAATGAGCCGGATTAGTACCACATTCTCATTATAATCTCTGCCTTCTAGCTTTTAGAATTTCCCTAAACCGAGGTAAAAACTGCAGCTTGTTTGGGGTCCTTCAGTGTTCGGGGACTTGCAGGGGGTCGCCTGCCCCACTCACACCCATAGTGCTGGATGCAGACCTTTGCTCCACCCTGCCCAGTGGGCACTGGCGTGCTGCGTGCTTCAGTTCCGCAGGGGCTCCAGAGTGCTGCGGAGTGAGCGATGGTGATGGTGGGTCAGATACACGCGGCTGTGCTGGGAACTAAAAACTATTTAAGGAACAATTTATATGAATCGTGGAAAGATTGCCAAGATTTTTAAAAATGAAAGTAGGTCAAAATATGTGGGGCACAGAGCAATTTGTGTTAAAAGTAAAAACCTAGAAAGATAATGTCTCTGGGGGGAGGGGTCAGGGGGCTGGGGACCCTGAGGTGTGTGGGACGCTTGTTATTGTTGCATTTCACCTTCCTTTAACATTTCGGTTAAAAGTTTTCTCATCTTCGGATATGACATCTTCATTAAGAAATCCATAGGATGGAACTCGAGCGAGCAGGCTTTCTAAACGATCGTGCTCATGTTTACATTACGGTGTCTCCGCCTTGGGCTGTTGATTTTTAGAGTCAGATCGCTCTGTGCGGGGGGCCTCCTGTGCATTGAGGGGTGTGGAGCTGCATCCCTGGCCTTCACCCACCAGATGCCAGCAGCACTCCCCCATCCCAAAACGTGTCCAGACCTTGCCCAGTGACCTGGGTGTTAGAATTGACCCCCGTGGGAGAACCTCTGATGCTTCAGGCCCAGTCTTCCCCCTGCCTCAGCCAACACCATCTTTCTCAGCTTCATTCATTGACCTCAACCCAACTTCTGAAGAAAAGACTGGAATGCAGCTCTGTGTGGCTGCTTTTCAACTATGCCTGGGCTGAAAATTAGCACAAATTCTGAAAAAGATATACATCAGGGTTGGCAAACCATAGACCTCAAGCCAAATCCAGCCTGTTTCCTCTGTGTGTGTAAATAAAGTTTTATCAGCACATAGCTGCACTCATTCATGTGCATGTGTCTGTGACTGCTTTCATGCTGCAAATGGCGGAGTTGCGTCTTTGGAGATCATCTGTTTTGCAAAGCCTAAAATCCTTACCGTCCGGCCCAGAAGAGGTTTGCTAGCCCTTGATCTGAACAAGAAAGTAGGGAATCTAACTTGTGAAAGGACATATTTAATATTTTCCTACAGGACTCAAAGCTGTCACCATCTTGAATAAGCGGGTGTGGGCTGAGAAGCAGTTCTGCTTTTTGTGAATTGCTCTCAAGCGAAAGAAGACTCGCCTACTCTTGCTGGAGAGGTGGGCACGTGAGGCACTGGGCGAGGTGCTGCACTGGAAGGCAGCCTTCAGGGCCTTCTAGAACAAGCACACTGGCTGGAACTGAGCACCAAAACGCCAGCAGCAATGGCTGGCGGGACAGACGAGGGAGCTTCCCCTTCCTGGTCTACATTTTCCTCTTTTTTTTTTTTTTTTGAGAATGTTTATGAGTTAATTTGAGCCCAACTGTCCACATGTGCCAGGGTGCAAGATCTCGAATACTTCCTACTTTCCATTTTTTTGTACTGAACGAATGTCACATCCAGAATCCGAAAAACTACGGTTTTCAGTCAGTTTGGTGACAGCTTCTAGAAGGAGGGCTTGGGGGAGGCCATCACAGGAGACAGGAGATGAGAAAACGCAACCAGGACGGCGCTCAGATCCTCCCTGAGAGTCGGTAGGGAAACTGTTAAAGCCAAGAACTGATGTCCAAAGGCAGTGCCATCACAGTGACACAGCTCTTTGGTGCCCGGGAGGAAGGAAGTGACCTGCTCTGTGTGGGGAAGTTGTAACCTCCCACTTCCCCACTATCCTCCCTCACACCCCACGCACCCCAAATCTGCCATCACACCAAAACTCCTTACCAGCAACTCGGATTCTCCCAGTAAGGAGGAGTTGTAACACATACCTGAAACGGTTTACCACCACATCATCACTTCCGGGACCGGCTATTTCACCTCCCCCTCTGTGGTTACACACCTTTGCAGTTCACTCCTAGGCACACACCCCAGAGAGTTGAAAACAGGCTGTCTTAGTCTGTCCAGGCGGC